TAGACTATAGCTCATATAGTTCCTCCTTTTGTGCAACCGTGCTGCTGAAGAGGAGGTGGCATCCTGCATGGCCCGCAGCTTAGGCACCACGACCCAGACCTAAGTGGAAGTTTCCCAAAAAATTATGGGGGTAATCAGGAGTGTAGTATAGTATTTTGGAACCAAAATTATGATGGGGTAATCAGGATTGGAGTATAGTATTTTGGAACCAAAATTATGGGTAATTGGGATTGTAGTATTTTGGAATCTATATGCGGGTAACCCTCTTTTGGCAAACTCCCAACCCGGTGGAGGTAAAGCCGTATGGGCTGAGGATTGGGGAAATCAAGGTTCGGGGTTTGCAGGGGCAATGTTGACCGCATAGTTATCAATAAGCCCCCACGTAACTGCAAAATCCAAATCCCCGAACGTAATTACAAACCCCCCTAGATTGCAAAATGCAATCTGCCAAAATTCAAGAATTTGCAAGCGCTGGAAGAGCAATGTCTACTACTGGGTACTACTATTGGTTACAACGACTGGAGCTCCAGCTCACGGACCTTGATACCCTTAATTATGGAGGCTCAGGCCCATTAAGGGAGCTTGGAGGGATAGACAGGCGCCGGGAAACAGAGGGTTGAGGCATTGCTCGGTCCTTGTCCCCTGTCTGAAGCAAATCCGCGTAGGATTTTCCCCAATCCGAGCCTAATTATTGCTAAATGTTCTGCGTCACTTGGCCTGCGGACTAGGCACGACAGCTGCACTTAGCAGCACGGCAGCAAGTTCGAACTCCTCGGTGAGCGGTTCTTGATTCCATAAGTCAGCCGTTCTATAAAAAACAGAAGTTGAGTGGAAGAGATTGATGCAGCGAGAAAATATGAATCACTGAGGGGTAAGTGAGTGAGTGATTGAGTGAATGAGTGAGTGAGGTGCTTCCTTGAGTGCGTGAGTGAGTGATATAGGCGCGAGACTGGGACTTGGCCTGCGGACCTTTTAGGCCAGCTTGGCAGGATCACTCTTCAAACCTTCCAAGAACTCCTAACGCAGGCGAGAGTCACTCAGATGCTGCAGGAAGGTGAACTGAAACCCACTGTGCAGCTGTAGCATTTTGATGATAATGAAGGCCTCAAAGTACTTCACCTGAGAGAGCAGGTGCATCCGCCACAGGCCAACGTGCCAGGTCTGCCTGTCATTTTTTCTCATCTGAGGCTGCGGCAATGTAGAATCCAGCATTGACAAACTGAAATGCCTCTCGGGGGTCAAAGACGGTGATGTTCACGAAAAAGAGAATCTGCGACATTATGGCAGCGCTGGCAACCTGCAGGTCAGAGGACTTCAGCTACAAGCATGCATACATTTCAGCTGTCGGGCTGGAAGGGATAATACGGGGCCGCCACAAACATCAGATGTGGCTTTGTGTGTGGCGCTGCAAGCCAGATACCATAATACTGAAACTCTGACCCCTTCGAAAAGTCATGAACTGAGCATACGTTTCCCTTATGGAGTCCGCGTTATCTGTAATTTTGCTGACCATCTTTTTGCATCTCACAACCAAAAGTAGGAGCATCCACTGAGGCAGCTGGCCCGCTATACCCAACCCTAAACCCATCTAAACCCTTGAACCCTGAATCAATTTTTGAGGGGAGAGATTGCAAGAACCCTCACTCTCTGAACCCAAAAGCCTTAAATTCCTCTTGAACCCTAAACCCTAGATTGGCCTGGCTCCACGCATGACGACAGGAGAGCCGCCGGCGTGTCCAGCCCCATAGCCTGGGTCGCTATTGGGGGTCTGAAAAATTGCTTTGCTGGTTTGGGGTTTAGGGTTTAGGGTTTCGGGTCTAAGGTTTAGGGCAAGCACGTGCAAATTCAAATGGAACCTGGGGGCTTATAGGGTTATGGTATATAGTATATAGGGAATATGATTAGGGCTACTGGTATCTAGCTTGTTGTTCGTAAGGAATGCAAGCGGGAGAAGAAACATGGCCAATGACAAAACTGGAGCTTGCATAAGGGCTCTCCAGCCTACTTACAACCAGTAAGATGAGGGATAACTCTTTCAAGGGCGTACAATTTACAATGGATAATATATATATATAGAGTGGCACGCAGAGGCATGAAGATACAGGGGCTGAGAGCTTCCGGGTTCATTCTGGCGTGGCCTTGGAACATAATATATGAGCAGAGAAGGGGAACCCCTGTTCTGGAAATACCCTGCCTTACCGGGCTCAAAAGACTTAAATGCTGCAGTACCTGTATTCTAAGGTGTTGATCGTAAGTCTCGACACCAAGAAATGTTTCAAGCCGCAACCCGGTAGCGTGGGCATTAAGAGCAGCAAGACGCTGGTTGCGACGTCGCCCATCCAGAGGAAGAGAAGGGGGCTCCATCTACTTTGATGATGCATGCAATGCAGCAGCAGGCACAGGGGAAGCCTGAGGCAGGCAAACGTGTCGAAACTCTAGCTTTGCTTCCTCAAGATTGCTCCTTCATATAACCATATGACGTTGCCACAGGTGGCAGCAATTTCTTAACGCAACGCTCTGGAAGTGTTGGTGCGGAAGCTGCAGTGTGGGAATTGACTGTGCGCATTAACTGGCAAGAGACGATGTAAGCACTTAGGCATTCTGCAGTAACGTGGCTGCTGTAGTCTCAAAAGCCCGTACCGATACATGCTAGCTTCCAAAAAAAGGGGACTCCAATATGGCCCAATATATTTTCACCTATATTACGGGGACCCCGAAATGGTACCCCTTATTTTGGGAAACCCTCACATGAAACTGTGTCACTTGGGCGGTTGTCAAAATTATGGTCCCTTTTTAGATCCCTATGATAATACGGCACTTAATATTTACGGTACCCAAAAGGATCATAATTTTGACCACGTCCCACTCTCAAAAACAAAGTGTTCAGACTCAAGACTGTCGCCCATCAAGCTTGTGCCAACAACTCCTTGTTGTGTCGTTTTATTGTCATTATGGCTAGTAATTACTAGCGTTACCGCATTCTAACCATCCCTACTATTACTGTCTAATCATAATCGTATTATTATTGTTGGTATTAGTATCGTGATTAATTGGTATTACTACTGTAATGTTATCATATTTACTGTTAGGAGTGTTCATACTATTTCTGCCACTGTTATCATTAGCTTATTCCACCATTGTTATGACTGCTAGTATTAACGGCAACCCTTCCAAGGGCGTTGAAACAAGAACCCTAGTCTGGGGTCAACTTGAAAAATGACCGGGCCTGTTAGGATTTCAATCGTGATGCCAGGAGACTTCTTGAGCTGTGATCAGAAACATTTGCGTGAGCTAAGAATGCGCAATGGTGAAACCCCAAATCAGCCGCATAATTGGCACCCTATGCTGTATGATCCTCCAAGACTTCCAGAACTGAAAGGCGCAGCAAAACATCTGTGGGATGTACAGGCAACCACCCGCCCCAGGGCCCACATGCTGCAACACGGCTAGCCGGGCTAGCTGCAACAAACTTGCAAGGCACTTCAAAGTCACGATCACGAGGATCAGGAAGGATGACGAGTATGTTGAACATTTTTGCTAATTTAGAGAGCAAAAAAGAAGGTAACAATCCCCGCCCGGCTGCCTGGTTAGGATCTCCATGAGGTAATGGACCTGGACCAGCTTTTTGTGTGTGCGGACGAAAGCATCATCCACCCACACGTAAAGGACCACGTCCTTAGCACTTAGTTCCTGTAAGGCCCCTTCGTTGCACTATGCAATCCATTTAACCCAGATCGTCCCTACGGAGCCCAATGCTATTGCCATAAGCGGAAACAATGTCGGGGGATTTGAGGAGCGCAACAGGCACTTAGAGTGGCTGCTTATAGTTGTCATAAGTCGTGAAAGAACAAGTACCGAAAGACCAACTCCATGAAACCCCTGCGCAGCACTGCACGATCCCTGCACGCCGAGACTCAGCGCACGCCATGGCCAAGCAAACGACGCCAACAACCAGTGCTGAAACTTCCTGAGCCATCATATTGTGGGTTTTGCACTTGGGCAATTCGTAAAACATTGACCCACCAATATTCCTGTAGAACCCTGGATGCACTTACCAAAAAGGCCCAAACGGCTATTTTGCAACATCTGCCTCAGTCCAGTCCCCAGAAACACAAACACTGGGACAATCCTAGAAGCACACTTCATGTCTCATTCGCAGAAACCCAGATTTCTATCTACACAACTGGCTCCAAGTCAAAGGGAGGGATCCTCATACTACCCAATCTTTGCACCTATCCCTCTACGAATAAAAACACGCACCCTCAATGATGAAGACCGTCCAATTGTATCATGGTACTATATTGTGAATATTTCTGAAGGGGTGGGAGCTAAGGGTTGTATAATTAAACCCCAAACCTTTTTCCAAAGCTTCTGTCAAGTAGTTTGCATCGTCCCAGTCGTGGGGCTTGCGCGCGACTTCCTGGAGCCAGGCCTCTTCAGCCGAAGCGTTTCGGAATTATCGGCGCGTCTCCACTGCTCAGGGTCCCTATACACTGGCCCTGACGACAAGGACGATCTTCTACTTGGGGGTTAAACATATGTGAATATAATATATACGTATATATATATACATATATGTATATGAAAGCCCTAAGTTGGAGACTCCCATATGCCAAGTACATAAGACCTGGGGATCACATGGAGGCTCTTTAGGGATCGTGACGAGATTTCGGGGATCCTATCAAGTATTTCAAGCTCTAAACCCTAAATACTAGTTTACGTTTACGTTTCATTATCCCTATATAATATAACCCCTATGTGTAAAACCTCGACATATATGTATATATATACATACCCTATTATACTATAGTCCCAGTCCTGTTTAATTGCGTAGCAGGTGGGTTTCTGTAGGCCTTACAGGCGGTTTGACTGGGACTTCGTACTTGGAGATATAAACCCCATACGGCCCGTACGCAGTAGAATAACCTCAGGTATCCCGACTATGAATCTGCTCCTTAAGTTCCCCCTGACCCTGCAAGAAGAGCTATACACGTTAGGAGGACCCCCACCCTGTAATAGTGGTATAATAAGAATATATGAGGACCCTAATATAATCCGTATTATCCCTTATAGTCACTATTACAGGGTGGGGGGTCCTTTTGATATATTCGAGCTTAGTAGGGCGTGCTCTCAAAATTATAGGCTGCTTTGGGCATCAGTGTCCACGGCCCGTGCGCCTCCTCACTGTGCGAATTGCTCTGAGAATTTCTCCGAAAAAAGATGGGCCCTTGCGGAGTTTTTGCCAACTATAAGGATGTGGGATATGAAAGCGTAGTCACCCTGGAAACTTCATGTAGATGGGAGCTTCCATTAGTAGGGGCCCAATATAGACCCCCATGTTCTTTCATCCTTACTGTCGGGATTCCCCAAAAGGGAGCCTTCCCTTTTGTGGAAACTCCCACATTTCTGGGCCTGGGAGGTGAGACCTTGCCTAAGTACAATGCAGTTGCGAAGGCCGGAATCAGGGGGGAGGAGGGGTCTTATCTCTGAAGCCCTGCATAGCAAAAAGTAGAATATCTTGGGGTATGGAAGGGGGACAAAAGCCACATGTAAACAATAGAGCACTGAGACCTGCTCGCAGCCCAGGCACGGAGTGCACAATTGCAGACCTCAGGTGATCCCGGCGTGTTGTTTGGAGGTCCATGGCTACTTACAGCTGATCTCAAACGGTACATCCCACACAGTGAGAAAGCCTCATAGCCCCTAACGCGGATATGCTGGGCTAGAACTGCAAGTGTGACTTAGGTGTGGTCACCCATGGGCCTCCGAGTAGAGGTCTGCATAACTTCATCTTCAAGTCCAATTGTGGTATACACATGTGTCACATGTGTGTAAGCATTTTGAAGCTGTCTGTGAATTGAGGTGCCTTAACTGTCCGAAGGGTAGACAAGGACGACCCCTATCTGCGACATTGTTCATCATGCTCGAAAAAAATGTGTGGATTTTGAAAAGAGAGTACCCCGAAGACCCAAGGTATACAGAGTTTTGAAGGAAACCAACCCCCTGAGAGAGTTTACCGGGAAAAAATACCGGGAAAATGGTGATAAACCCCTCAAGCCACAGGAGGATTAAAGGCAAGCTGGCGATAGTCAGCTTCCGCAACCCGCGCATGAGGTTTTCACCATACCGGCTTCCTTTCATCTCCTGGGTTATACATGCAGTCATGGGTTTTAGGGTTGAGGGCCCCTTTACCGAAAGGGTTATAGGGATACGTATACACGCATACATGTAAAGAAGGATGCAGACGCTAAGGGATTAGGATGTCCCAGAGACCCTGAGGATCAAAAGGACCCAACTCCCTGACCATGGTTTGTGAGGTGGGTCGTCTACGCAGGAGCAGTTAGCAACTCCGTACTGTTCGCCACATGCAGAATGCCGGAAATCACGGCCCCTGTAAACGCACACAAGAATCCTGTAACCCCAACATAATATACCATAAAATACTATAATATACACTAAGAAAGACCCAGCATGTTCGGAAGCCTCTATTCATTTGTGAAGCAGCAGTTCTCGCAAACACAGCCCGGTCTCGCTATTCATGACACGCCGACGCCTAGCTCGCTGATCCATAGAAGCAGTTGCCGCATCTGGAGGGGAACTAACGACCTGCTGGCGGCACACGCAAGCTGACGTGTGCATAGCCCCTTAAATGATGGAACATGGGGCATATTATGAGGATCTTACTATAATGTTGGGGAACCCCAAATTCTATGTACTAAAGGGGGACTGCACTCCTATGAACATGTCTCACAAGCAAGGGTCCATCATATACACTTATGCACTGGAAAGGATCCACCATGAGGGCGTTTTAAAAGGGACCCTTGTGAGCATCTGGGCACTTGATGCACAGGTGACAAAGCGGGAAATACGCGTTGCAAACCCTACTTGGAGGTTCAGGGTATACTGATAACCCAATGAAAACGGTACTTATAACTTAAGTACAAATTCCCTTAGTCAATGATACGGCTTTAAGCTACTATTGGGTTAAAAATACTAGTTTACAGTACCCTGAACCTCCAGGTAGCATATTGTGAGGGTTCTACATGGCTGCAGCTTCACTCTTGCTGTACAGCGGTCCATCTAAGGCGCGGGCAGATACCACTGAGCTCATCACATCCTCCTCGCCCACACCCCAACAAAAGCCATCACCAATCTTGTCCACCATTTCCTGGAGCATGCATGGGGCAATATTTGAAGATGTTCTGTCTTGCGCACTTGATCATTGGATACTAGATGTTGACAAAAGCACAAATTTGGCTGAACAGGAACCAGTTTCGACCAGCGGAGCAAGTTGAATTGCGGAAATGAACACAGCCAAGCCCCAACCATAAGGCCTATTCTGGCGCATCGCGGCTCGGTGTCGGCTGAGAGTCAGCGCCGATAAAACCGTTGAAGCCAAAGCACCAAAGCAAAGGAGCCAGAAATTTGAATTCTGTGCCTCCGCCGCAGGTAAATGTAGAACCCTTGAGAATGAAACTCTCCTTGTAAGGTCAGAAAATAGGGTTTCTTAAACAGGGATCTACGTTAGCAGTTGTGAATCTTTTCAAGGGGCGCCTGCCCATTTAAAAGCCACATGGCGTAAAGGCAGCGCCCTTCTGTGGAAGGTTAGCGTAGGATCTTTCAGACTTGGCTACCCTTGCGTATATGCCATACAAACAGAAGAGGGACTCAGAACATCCATCGAACAGGTGACAAAAGTGTGCCGATTCTGGGGCTTTGAGCGGCCAAGCAGCAATCTCGAGCCAAGTACTCGCGCTGCGCACAATATTCCAAAGACTGAGCAAATCGAAGCCACGATCGGCAGAGAGCAGGACAGCCTTCAGAGTCAGCCCCAAGACACGCTGAAACGTGGCGTTTGACCTCCACCTTGCCAGGGGAAACTTCTTCTTGAGTTCCAAACTGGGATTTGCTGAGCTTTGGTCTGAGCTTTGAAGGGGCATCATCTGGCAACTCTAGTCTGTACACCACATATGCGCAATAGCCTATAAACTCCTTGAAGGGGCTATACAGGGGATAATATAGGGAAGTAAGGGGGATACTGGGGATACTAGGAGTTAACACTATGACTCATGTGAGGCGCAGCCTAGGTGATGCTGGGGCCTTTCTTGTGGACAGTCAATAGTTCCTACATGATTCAATGGACATGGTATCCTTGTTAGGGAACATTAGAGACGTACTATACTACAAGAGACCCTTATGTCCACCCTTCAGGGTCCCTTAATTAGGCTGAATACTGACAGCAGCTCCCGTCAGGACCACTGTGCCAACAAGACAGCACTTGTGACTCTTGTGATTGTACCATACTGTGACAGCACTCTTGTAAGTGCTGATGCATTTATTGAAAAAGGTTCCGTCCATGTCAATTGCATTCTTGCATGGCAAAGGCATTACCAAGGCTAGCCTATTGGTTTCACTCCTCTGCCCTCCCCCGTTGGAGCTAACAGTCAGAGCTCGCAGTAGATGGACTGAGCAACTTGCCTCACCCTCTCAACTGGCACCACCAAAGGCGCCGCTGCCAAAGCACGAGCTTCGGCATTGCCCGTGCCAGCCATGCTGACTAGATGGGGACTTTGTACTTAGGGCTTCCTCGGTGCGGGTCCCTTCTATGCAGGGGCTCCCCACACTTTGGGGCTACCTCTCTCTTGGATCTTTCCGTTGTTGGGAGCTACCATGCGGGGCAATGATCAAGATCGAGGTCCGAGGTGTTTGTGGGGCTAGGTTTGCATTTGCAATTATAAGCGCCAAGCTCCTGCATATGAGAAACCTCATGTAACCGCCAACGGCTTCGGTGCGAAGATAAAGCTTCAGACATGATGATTGCAGCCGTCATCTCTCTTAAATTTCAGGTTGGTCGAGGGGCATCCAGATCATATTGCTGTGCGCGAACTTATAGCAGCGCTACTTCCCGCTTGTTAAGAGAGCACGGTT